TTTAAATTAAAATTTCTTTAAAAAAAAAAAAAATTCAAGGATGAAGAAGAAAAAAGAAAAAAAAGAAAAAAAGGAGAAGAAGAAAGAAGAGCAAGGTTAGTTTTATAAGTGTCGATTCCTGCTCTCCATGTTTGTTTTTTTTTTTTTCTAAAAGTAATAAATACACTTTTCGAGAAGGTTATTTATTTATTTATTTATTTGTAAAAAGAAAAAAAGTTTTTTAAATTTTATGTGTGAGTACTTTTTGGTATTTTTATGAGTTTTATCAACGTTATGACGTCGTTAATCATAAATTTTTCAATAAAACTAAAATTTTAAATTCAATTGAAAATGACAAAATTTAATGGAGACATTAAAAAACAGAGAGAGAGAGAGAGAGAGGTAAAAAAAAAATAAAAATTTTTTTTTTACTTTTATACACAATTTATTTGATCAATAAATTATTAATCTTTTACTTTACTCTAAATAAAATTATATTGAAAATAAAAAAACAAAAAATAATAATGTATTTTGTCTCAAAAAAATTTAAAAATGGTGTAAAATAAAAAAGAGGATAAAGAAAAACCACATTTTGAAAAGATATTTGCGTTAGTTTTATGTATACATTATTAAATTTGATGTCAAATTAACAAAGAGAGAAAGAGAGAGAGAGAGAGAGAATTGAGAGAGAGAGAGAAACAACAAAATGTAAAAATTTATTTTTAATGAAACAACACATATTCAAATGTTTATGATTTTAATTAGGTTATAGAAAAATAAAGTTTTTTTAATTTTTGTTTTTGTTTTGTTTTGTTTTCAGGTCTTAGGTTCGAAAAGTGAATATCATTTTATTAATCATGCTGTGCCACATGCAAGATCGAGAAGAAGTATTACACACGCTCGAAAACTCAAAAAAGATCCACAGGTACAGAAATTTTTTTTTAATATTTTTAAAAACTTGATTTTAAAACCAAATTAGAAAAAGAAAACTAAACTTGTTTTACGCGTCGAGAACTTTCAAGTACCGAAAAATTTAGTTTTTTAAACTAAAAAGGAGAAAACCAATTTCGTTTTTTAAAAGCGTTAAAACGGTATTTAATGCAATTAGAAAGAAAAAAAAGGAAAATGAGGAAAATTGTAAAAGAGAGAGAGAGAAAGAGTGAACGGTTCATTACGATCACTGCAATTTAAATTTTTTTTTTTTTCGCCAAATTTTGACGTCAAAAAAAAAATTACTTTTAAATTATTCATTAGAAAAAAAAAAAAAAAAAAGTTTATTTAACTTTGCAACACGATTCTTGTTAAAGAGTGAAGAAAAAAAATTGGGGGGAGGGGGAGGAGGGAGAGAGAGAGAGAGAGAGAATATCGTGAAAATAAGAGAGGAAAAAAAAAACGAAATTACTTTTTTTTCCCTCCCCGTTTTCTTTTTTTTTTTTTTTTATTTTTTTTAAATGTTCGTGTCAAATTTCTACCCTTTAGCCCTCTCCCCGCCCCCTCCCGCATCTCGCCCCTTCGGCCCCCACATTATATGCCTCCCTTCCGTGGGATTCAATAAAAAAAAAAAAAAAAAAAAATTTAATTTAATTTATTTATCGACGTCACTAATACGGCGGGGAAAATTCATAGGAAATTTTTAGCTTTTCTTTTTTTCTATTATCGTAATAATAATAAAAAAAAAATACGTAATATGTGACGTAAATGATAATAAAGTCAATCGTGAATGAAAGTTTATTAAATGAAAAAAATAATAATAATAATAATAATATATTTTTTGGGGGGGGGGTAGGGGGTCTTCTCTGATATCGAATCGAAGTACAGACGATGGGAAAAAAAATTAAGCCAACAAGAATGAGATTTTTCTTTAAAAAAAAAAAATTTTAATAGACCGGAAAATTTTTCAAAATATTATTATTATTATTATTATTATTATTATTATTATTATTATTATTATTATTATTATTATTACTGTTTTTCTTTCGTTTCTAAAATTTTCCCGTCTTGAGTATTCGAAAAAAAAAGAAAAACGATTGAAATTTTCCTTTTTTTTTTGGACCTTTTAATGCATTATTAAGAAGTCTTTTGTTTGTGTGTATGTTTTGTTGTTGTTGTTTTCGAAGGTCACGATGGAGAATTTGTAATAATAATAATAATAGCATGTCGGAAAATTTCATTTTTCAAATTTACGACCCCCCCTACCTCCTTTCGTGAAATCGTTTTGTAATTATTTAAATTTCATTTCGTGACGGGATTAATATATTAATAAAAGTTATGTCGATAAATGTAAAAATCATTTTCGAATTTCAATAAGAAAAACAAAAAAGGAAAAAAAAAAAAGGAAATTTTCTAATTTGTTGGAAAATTTTTCTTGTTTTTCCGATTGTTTTTGAATGAAATCAATACAAATCAATAAAATTTCGTTTTTTTTTTTTTTTTTTTTTTTTTAATTAAAATATATATTATTCATCGTTCGTTTTCAATTTAAAATATAAAAAATTTATTTAAAATAAATAAAAATAGATTTTTTTATCCTCCAGATGATTTTTATACAATTTATTTATTTATATGTATATGCTTTCTCTGTCTTTTCTCTCTCTCTCTCGAGAGAGAGAGAGAGAGAAAAAAAAAAGGGGGGAAAATTTTATTTTTAGATATTCTCGTTAACGAGATCACCGGAAATCAAATTCAAAAAAAAAAAAAAAAACAAAACAAAAAAAAAAAACGAATTAAACGAAGGGGAAAAAATGGGAAAAAAATATGACAGAGGAAAATCATTAAATGAAAATAATAAGAAAAAAAAAAAAAAGGAAAAAAAGAAAATTTTTTAATTTCCCGTTTTTTTTTTACCGCCCATTTTTTCTTCCCCCGGGAAAACTAAAAAAAAAAAAAATGAAAAGAAAAAATTAATGAGTTCGATTGAAAAAAATATATATATAAAGAAAATTAAACCTCGTAATTTAAGGTACAATAACGATTGCAACGGTAAAGAATTTTTTGACTTAACGAAGTGGAAGTGGAAGAAGAAAAAAATTGCTGCCACGTTTAAAAGACGTTTTAAAACGGATTATTAGTGGATTAAATTGAAACAATTAAACATTTGATTTATAATTTGTCTTGCTGTGATGATGTTGAATTGATTTGAGTTGAAGTAAATTAAAAAAAAAATAAAAAATCACTGTTTGTTCGTTTGTTTTTTATATTTTTTATTGGGAAAAAAATTGTTGATGGGGAAAAAAGAAAGGAATTCCCCCCCCCCCCCAAAAAAAAAAAACAAATTTTCGTAAATAATAATTAATTAATTGTGTTTTTTATTATCGTGTTAAACGATGTTGTTGTTGTTGTTTGTTGTTCCCAACCTATTTCCGGTTGTTTTGTTTTTTTTTTTATTCGTACCAGAGTCATCAGAACGCCACCATTTTGTACATTTTAATCGTTTTTATTTATTTATTTATTTATTTTTGTTTTTTTTTTTTTTGGTTTTTGTTTTCTCCCGTTCAGGTCGTTTACGCCGTTCAGCAAGTCGGATTCAAACGAGAAAAAAGAGGATTTAAACCTTTGAAAGTTGAAAATTTAGTTCAGTTCATGAGACCGCAAGATGATCCCACGGATCCGTATTTTCAATTTCAATGGTATTTGAAAAACACGGGGCAAAATGGTGGAAAACCCAAATTGGATTTAAACGTCGCATCGGCTTGGGCACAGGGAATAACGGGGAAAAACGTTACGACCGCCATCATGGACGACGGTAATGTTTTTTTTTTTTTTTTTTTTTTAACATTCATTCGATATATTTTTAACTGTTTCCCCTAACAAAAAAAAAACAACCCGTTGACGGGAAACCCACCCCCCCAAAAAAAAAATGGATTAAAATCGATGATTATTATGAATTTAATGAATATTTAATATTATTATTCAAACGAATGGGTGGATCCTCCATGAGACGACGAACCTTTCACAAATTAATAACGAATTTTAACTAAAGGGGATCCCCCATGATAATTATTATTATTATTATTATTATTTTTGTTTGTTTGTTTGAATTTTTACATATCGTCGAATGACACGAAATGTAAATTTTATTCGTTTTTTTTTGTTTTTCACGTTGGAATTTTTTTTTCAGGTTGTAACCTGAACAAGTCAAGACATGCACGAAATCCTCTTTCAATGTTCCGAACCTTTTTTTTTTTTGTGTTTTTCCTCGTCAGTCCATTACTACGTTGTGTGAATTTTCCAATTATTATTCATTCCTAAACTTTTCCTAAGGTTTATTTTAATACAAAGCGTAATTAATTGTTTGAGCGTACGGATTATTCATTAATTTTAAATAATTCGCTTCCGGGTTGTTAGTATCCGGTTTTCCGGTCTTGTAAAAAAAAAGCGCAAAATTTTTTTGTTTTTTTTTTTTTAATTCTCGAAAACTTTTAATTAAATTTAAACAAATTTAAACAAAAAACAAATAACAAAAAAGTTGTTATTTACTTATATTTAACGAATTAAATAAATAAATAAATAAATAAAAGAAAAATGGCGAAAAATTTTCATTTTATTTTTTTTTCCCCATTTTGAAATTTTAATTATTTGTGAAAGATTATTAGCGCGGAGGAGGGAGGGGGAGGAAATTTTTGTCGAAAATTCTAATGATGATCGTAATAAAAATAAATCCGCCATTTTTTTTTTCGAAAACAATAGAATCGATTTTAATTAATACCAATAATAATATAAAATTCGTAAATATTTTTTTTTTTTATCGAAACAAACATTATTTCATTTGTTTTGTGTTTTGTTTTTTTTTTGTTGTTTCCGCTTCCGGGAAATGAAATTTAAG